TGCCCCAAACCTCCCCTGAATTCCGCACATGCGACCCCTTTCTCGCACGTGCGGCCCTGGTTCCACAGCCCAGAATTTTCTTAGCTCAATTCTAGGCATTTCGGACCCGACCTTGCACTCTCCGGAACACGTGAAAATCAACACCGAACAAACAAGAATAAGAATTCATTTGAGAACAAAACTTCTAGACACTTCAAACCCAATGAAAACAAAAGGAGAACGGAGTGAATAATACACCCGATCATCACACTTGCTCTTCTCTAAGAATGGCCTTTGAAGAAAAGTGATGTTACAGAAATTAATAGCATAGCCATGGCTTTTACAAATGCATATCTTTCAATTTGAATTGAAAGAAGTACATAGATAAACTTGTAATTGGTCATTTCATGTCAAAAACTCAATCTGAAAGGTAAACTTTGTTTAAAAGGCATGCGTTTCATGCGCAATTCCACGTAAAAACAGACAAAAGTGATTCTCTCAGCAATGAACAATCAGCGGTGCTTCAATTCAAGAATGAAGTAGCAAAAGGATGTCTTAACCTCTGCGAGCTGGCCTAAACTAATTTTTAAAATTCTCCAAGCTTACAAGTTGCAAATTGTAAAGGTAAAAATGAAGGACAAGAACAATCTTTTGCACAAATAGATGATCTAAAGAGTGTTTTACCAAATTCGTTTGATTCTAAAATATATTTCCCAAACTAACATTTTTTTAACTTATTTCACAAATTGTTGTTGTATTTGTGACACGACTTTAAACTAAAACACATACATTTTGAAAATACAATTTCAATTAGTATATTGCAAAACTCTTCAAATTTACATTTTGAAAACACTTCAAGAAACACCCAAAGTATGACAAATAAGTTCAAAACAAGGAATGACTTTTTTTTTTTTTTTTTTTAAATCAAAAAGTTGGGTTGGGTAAATAACTCTCCTTTTATGTAGCCAATTTTTTTATCACATACCAACTATCTTACTCCAGATTTGTTCAACCAAAGGAAAACACAATATGAAAGGATAACATTAATAAACACAATATGAAGGGAAAACACAATGTATCTAAGCCCAACTTCACCAAATTTACCATCCTAGGATAACATTCAATCAATAAGCTCCCTCTGTGCTCGTTGCTTATCTAGACCATCATTCCTGAGCTTTTTACCACACCCACATTATAGTCAAACAACCCCAAGCAATTTTTTTTATTTATTTTTTTTTTTTAATAACAAATGTTTGTTAAGGGTTGTTGCATTACATTAAGAAAAAATTGTTAAGAACATTCATTTCAGTTTCTGTTAAGAACAATACAGTTTCTTAAATTATTTGTTCAGAGTTTATTACAGAAGAACATATTTGGAGGCATGAAATCAGGGACTTCTTTTCCTATTTGTGTAGATTACTTTCCACAATAACTAAACAGCACTTCAAGATAATCAGGGCAAATCCCAAAATTGGTGCCAAGAATGAAAAGGATGAGGAAAATTTCAGATTTTTGGACAAAATATCAGATTCTTGAAGAAAATTTTAGAAAAGTTTTTCCATCAGTAATCGTCCGACACTAATTTACGAAGAAAATCGAAAGTAATCGTTTACAAACAAAATTCTTTTTCCATCAATAATCATCCGAAACTACAATTTTGCATCAGTGAGCGTCCATCAGTTCATGTTTTTTGCGTCAGTTCCATCATACAACAGTGGGTTTCCCATATGCCAAACAA